GTGAGCTCCCAAAAGGCCTCGTGCTAGGTAGGGATGGGAATATACATATAAGGATCACTCCCCTGGGTGATGTGGGATGTCACAATCCACCCCCCTTAGGGGCCCGACGTCCTCGTCGACACACACGCGGCCAGGGTTAGGCTCTGATACCAAATTGTTACATCCCGCCCGAGGGGGACCACTTCCCGGGCCCGCTCCACCACCATATCACGATATTGTCCGCTTTGGGCCCCGACCACGCCCTCACGGTTTTGTTTTTGGGAACTCACACGAGAACTTCCTGATGGGTCACCCATCATGGGAATGCTCTCGCGCGCTACTCGCTTAACTTCGGAGTTCCCATGGAACCCGAAGCCAGTGAGCTCCCAAAAGGCTTCGTGCTAGGTAGGGATGTGAATATACATATAAGGATCACTCCCCTGGGCGATGTGGGATGTCACAAGCATATTCAAAACCTCAAATTTCATCATCCCGCCGAAAGCAGATGGTGAAGAAGAAATATACATTTTGAATATTATTGTGCAATTACACTACACCTACATAATTTTAATGTAAGTCTAAAATGTAGGTTGAACATTTTGCATATACAAGAGAAAGTCTAAAATATATGTTGAAAATTATAATTTTCTTGCCACTAAGATTTTGAACAAATTAGAGAAAGTTGAGTTGAGAATTCATAGTGTGAAAAGCGAAACTCATAGTTTTTTAGTGAGATTTGATGGACACAGACTATATTATTATAGGTGTTAAACTCTGCTGCTATAGCCGCAACAGAAACTCTCTCTGTCTATCCCTCCAAAACACCACTCATTGTCAAAGAAGCCGTCACATATCAATGGGAAAATTGTCACGTAGACAAGACCCAATTGGATCTTCTTATCCTCAACGTGCATGATTTCAATTTTTGTGCAAATTTTCTCGTATAAGTGTGCAAGCATTAGGAGTAGGATTATCTTCTCTCTTTTTTTTTCTTCTTTTTTTTTCTCTTATTTAAACGATCACAGTTAAGCTACGTCAATATCTTATATTAATTTTTTATAGCAAGAGAAGACAAAATAAAAGAATATGAAAGGAAATGATATAAGAGGATGAAAGAGTAGGAGAGAGAATCCTCCAGTGCATTGTCAATTTGTCAGACTCAATTATGCCAAGAAAAGAAGAAGGGAAAAAAATGCAAGAAGGTTGAGGATCGACAACATTTCGTTCAAAAGAAAACTCAGGCGCTGAAAGACATAATCCCACTTTAGGAGTTTACTTATTCAAAACGTTCGAAGGGCTTTTTCTTTGGGCGGTCGAGGGTGAAAGTGAAAGATGTCAATTAAACTCTGTCTCTTATATATATATATTTTATCTTTATTTTGGTGGTCGGCTGCTGGTCAAAGGCCAGCAGTACTGCTACTTGTATTCCACAAAATTGTCTGCAATTTATACAGATGTAATTTCCCGTAAATTTTGTGAAAATAATCAAACACTTTGGAGACATGTGTCAGATTTGGCAGCTCATACTTAATAGTCAGTTGCCTAATTTTCCTTGACGTCCAAATGATACACGGCTTACATGCATTAAGGGGTTTGACCTAATTGAGATTCAATAATTGTTTTATTAGATCCATCGTCGACCTTCTAATCGAGCGATTAATACCCTTTGCAGATTACTTCTATTTGGATTTAGAATTTAGGGTTTATGTATATGGATGGTTAACGATAATTATGCCACAAGTTAATTTCTATGCAAGAGTGTCAATGTCTTAGGATTAACTTGTATCAAGTTCGTAATTTTACTTTCTTAGGATCAACTTGAAGGAGAGTCCATGCCATGCAAGTCTCGGACACAAGTCATCGTGAAGTGCGCACACAAAATGTTAAAACCAGTGGAGACAAAGCCAGAGAATCGTCCATATATATGACCACGAGTTAAATGTGCAAAAGGCAATCTGGAAAAAGGGGTTAGAGACGTGTGGATAACACATTCCACAAATCGCCAAGAAAGTAGTATTTTGGATTGCAGAGGGACAGGAACAATGTGTAGTGGAGAGATCTGGTTTGAAATACTTTGTTTTACAAAATGTAGATGGGTCCCAACTTGAGAAATACATAACCGAGTTCTTTAATTTCCAAAGAAATAACATTCACAATGCCACGAAATATTACTGAATTTAGATGTTCTATAATATAAGTTAAGTAGAGGATAAAAGTGGCTTCTCACGAATTTAGGAGTATTTGTATTGCAGAGGAAGAGAAACGATGTAAAGTGTGTTGTGACCTGTGCTTAAATTCCGCCTCAGATATATGTGCCAAATTTTCGATGTGACAATCACACGTCACTTATTTTACTAATTCACATTTTATCACAAACCTAATATATAAATAAATACATATAAGGGATACTTTGGATGCGGTCCCTAATCCTTAACATTTTTTAATTAAAACATTAATAGTATTCAAAGTTTGATCAAGATCCCTTGACTTTGTACACCTCATTATATTACTATTAATATTTATATTTTTATAGTTTTGACATTAATTATTTGATGTTTTATGAGATTTATAATCCTTACAATAAAAAATTCAAACATTTTGATTGAATAAATGGATAAAAACTATGTAAAAATAAGAAATAATAAATGGCAAAAGAATGTATCCATAGTGTTAAAAAAATTGGTACCTTTTACAAAAAAAATTGGTACATTTCACATATAACAAAGTGGTACATTAATAAAGAAGAATGGGTACATTATAAATAAATTAGGGTACAGATAAAAGATTAAAAATTATGAGTGCAAATGAATTTTTAAAAATATAGGCGCTAAAGGAAATGTATACATGGGTACAAAATAAAACTAAAAGGAAAATACTACAAATTAAAAAAAAATGTTGCAAATTAAAAATGGGTACAAACTAAAAATATAAATATATGATACAAAGTTTAGGTATAAAACATAAATATACCATATGTAATTTTTCTATCATTGATTAAATATACAATGTCACATGACGGTATACATATAGGGACAAACACAAATAAAACTTTAAAAAATATGGGCACAAAAAGAAACTAATAGATGGGTACAAATAAAAAATGAAAAGAAAATTGGTACGAATTAAAAAATATTTGCAAATTAAAAATAGGTACAAACTAAAAATAAAAATATATGATAAAAAATTTAGCCATAAATAGAAATATACTAATTGTAACATTTTTAACACTAAAGGAATATATTTAAAATAAAGATATTTTATTATTCAAATAATTAATGATGTTATTAATACGCAAGGACATTGATAAAAAATTCAAAATGAATAGGATTTTAATCAATGGAGTAACAAAAAGAAAGATGTGAACCTAATTTTCCCTACATATAATTACATGTTTCATAACATGAGTAGATTTGAAACAACGTGATATTAGGGTCATACCAAAAAATTTAGCCAAACTACAAAGAGATTTTTCAGAGTGTCCAGAACACGGGCACATACGTCATATATCATTATACAAGTGAAAAGACATTTGAAAAAGAAAACATCACTCTGTTTGTATAATAACACATGATGTACTGTCTCGTGTTCCTGGTGTAATGAAAAAAATCTCCAAACCAAGCTTCAAACTGAATCATGGTGGTCATGAGCTGTCCATAGCTCATTTAGAAGAAAATATTGCATGACAAACCTCCGTCAACGAACATCATCAGCCCCCGAATTCTTACTGAAATGATTTCATCGTAGAAACAAATTTGTGGTCAAAACCCTCACCACCATGCACTTTCTTTTTTTCTTCTTCTTCGGCCACAGCCGACAACGCCCACACCACTTCATAGGTTGTAAAGTTTTAACTGGATAAGAGCACTAATCAATCCAACCGGGGTCAACCGAACCGGTCCGCCCCCAAGCTCATTTATAGGACCCACCTCTGCATTATTGAGTCCACGTGTCCTAGATGCTGACGCAATTAATATTAGGTCGTAATTTTGGCACTGCAATCACAACAGCAGCTAGCATATAAGATCATATACCGCTTGAGCATGGAGCGATCGATAAAAGGAGACGAAACCAGCACAAGAAGCACGCCATGATTTTTAAATAAAGCTTGGGTGTCCCCTCACCGCTCACAGGACGACGCGTACGTACCCCCTTTTGTCAAACTCGCATATTTCAATAACCCCATGCAAATTATTACTTTTTTAGCACGTGAAAACGACACTCTGCCACACAGGTGGCCTAAACAGGTGTCGAACCCTCCGACTACTTCCTCCTGCCTGGTCGCCGGAACCTTGGACTCACGGTCGGGATCCAAGAAACCAAACCTTTGAGCTTTTGGTTTCTCTTTTGGTCATTGTAACTGCGTGCATGTTTCACTTGGATTTTGCCTTTCCTCTTGTAGGTTTTATTAATTAAAAGCCTTTCCTCTTATATCTAGATGTAAATAATATATGTTTTTGTGACTCTACTTTTATTAATATATTAGCCCATTTGTGCAAGAAAAGAAGAAGATAATACCGTGACGTATTTATAAATGGTTGTTTAAACGTGTTTTTAAAATAGTTGAAAATGTTTTTTGTGAAAATATTTTTGAAAACAATCTTTAATAAAAATGCAAGTGAATTTTGAAAAAACACTTGAAAATTTTAAAAGCGCTTCTAAACGAGCCGTAAAATGTTATGCTTCTATCGAGTCTACCACCTATTATTATACTATCAGTTGATTAATTATAATCAACGGGAAGATGAAACGACCCAATCCGATTATTGTATGTATTTGGTTTTGTCTTTGTTGATAAACAGGCATCAAGTTGTTTAATTAAGCATTTGACGTAAATTCAGAATAGGATAAGGGTTTTACCAAAAGTAAATAATAATATTGTTATATATTGATAAGACAAACTACTAATTAAGGAGATAATTATAGACTACAATGACACATCAATAATTATGGAAAATTTCCATCATTAATTAAAGAAGAAAAGGGACATGAAGAACTTGGAGAGATTGCGGATACAGTAAGACTACCAAAACTAAAGCACTGATTAATTATTAGCAAATTCGACACGTATCAACAACTTGATCATATCCCAATGCTCAGAAAATTGGAAATTAATCCTAATTATATAGGATGATCAGTTTGAACTGACAACAACAGTAATAGTACATTATATCACATGAATTCATTAACATCCAAGATGCTTGGGATGTCAAACTTTAACATGTTGCTACAGTAGCTTTCACGTTCGTCCTCTGTGCCGCTGTTGAAATATGTTGTCGAATTCGAATTCATAGGCGTCGGGCTTGAAGAAGGCGTCGAGAAAACCGAAGTGAAACTGAAGTTCTGGTTGCTGTTGTTGGAGTGAATATTTGAAGTCTCTGGCGAAAGATCCAAGACAGTTTGGTTCTGTTCAGACCCAAAGTAAGCAAAGCTTGGTAAGTCAACATATTCTTCGGTAAAATTTGAAGTCCCCGCATTACTTTGCCACTCATTGAGTTGAGAAATTTGTGACCTAAAATCACTTAGGCTTGATGGGTACTCTACATTGGGCTGCAGCTGCATGATTTGTGCAGCTTCATTTGGGTACGGAACATTGTGTTGAATTGGTTGTTGAAGTTGGTTAGATTGGACTTGGCTTGAAACTTGGATTTGGGGGTTGCAAATTTGGTGGTAATCATTTTCTTGAGCATTTTGAAGACCGAAATTTTGGTTACTGTTGCTTTCTCTATGGGATTGGATTAAAGTGGCTAGCCTTAGTAGCTCTGGGTTGAGTCCAATTGGTTGGCCAAGCAACCTTGAAAAGTTGTTCATTTGGTGGTGGTGATGAGATGAGTTGTAGAGAATGGATGAGAAGTCGAGAAGATCAAGACGGGGACTGTGGGTGACAGGATCTATTCCCATTCGGAGAAGTCTCTTCCTAATGTGGGTGTTCCAGTAGTTCTTGATTTCGTTGTCGGTTCTTCCAGGCAAACGAGCAGCAATAGCAGACCATCTATACATGAAAATGAATCGATTAATTGTTGGATTATGAAGTATAAAATTTTGAGTATTATGCTACTCTTGAATTAAGTTCAAGGTTGCAACATATTACATGAATGGAGAAGTAATAAAGGAGGCTAGTTAGCTTACTTGTTGCCCAATATGATGTGGAGTTGAATAATTGTCTCCTCCTCTTCAAATGAAAACCGTCCTCGTTTGATGTCTGGTCGGAGATAGTTTGTCCACCGGAGACGGCAGCTCTTCCCACATCTTTGTAGCCCTACACGAAACAGAAAGTAACAAAATTTAATTTAATACCATTACCAATTATTTGAACCATATATTTACAAAACAAGTTAATAAGATAAATAAATTAACACGAAGCCTCATCTATACAGTAGCAGATTAATCACCTGCATTCTTTGGGAGGGTTCTCCAGTTGCCATAACCATGTTTCTGGATATAATCCATGAGCTTCTGATCCTCCTCCGGCGTCCACGGACCTTTCTTGAGGCCGTTTTTGTCACAACAAGGTGCTCTACCCATGGTGTTCAAGTTCTTGTTTGAAATAGTTCTCTAGCGCTTTGCTTTTATAAAACTAATGCTCCAGTACCCACGAACTTAAATATATACTAGCTTAAAAGAACCGTGTGCTCAACTGTTCAGGTATATTAATTGAAAAATATGGGTCGAAAGGTTGTGTGTGTGTGTGTGTGTGTGTGTGAGATAGAGAGAGAGATGAATGGATCGATGCAGATTAAATTGAGAGAGAGAGAGAGAGAGAGAGAGAGAGAGAGAGAGAAGAGAGAGATGAATGGATCGATGCAGATTAAATTGTAGGGTCCGTATGAAAGACGTAGGTGTATAAATAGGAAAGCCAGTAAAGGCAATGAAATGAAATGAACAACAAAAAAAGGAGGAAGTCAAAAGTGTTCGGTGCCGTCCTCTGTTTATCAACATGGGTACGTGTCCCTTCTTTGAGAAACTCAACATATTGTCATCATCAAGATTAAGTTTGGTTCTACCTATCTACATACTTCTTTTTATTCTATATAATTTTCAATTTTCGACTCTTGAGTTAGATGATTTGAAGATGATAATAAAATTAAAAATAACCAAAAAGTGTGGAGAAGATAAAAGTGACATGTGGATAGCACTTCCCTTAAGTTTTCAACTCCAATCCCTCTCTATTTCTCTCCAAATTAATCTAATATTTTAGTTTATACTTGTATTTTATATACGTAAAATAATTTTTACCTACCCACCATCCACGGCCATGCATTGCATGCATGATAATTTTTTTTAATTAATTAATTATTTAATTCATGAGTAATAATTATATTTCTATATACAGAAATCATGTGATATCACTTGGGTCTAATATTATTATTTTTCTGTTTATTTATTGGTTTTTGCTTCTAGGGTTATCGTTTTCCAGCGGGATTATGTCGTGTTTGTGGCAGTCCTGGCTTCCTCGATTCATATTAGGGAAGGGCTTTTAGCTGTCATCAACATAATAAGATATGCAAATGCAAGTATTGGTGCCACGTACTCCTCCTCTTGTGACTTGTGAGCTGACCAATATATTGTCCTTACTGGAACATCACGTTCACGGCATCTTTCTTCTTTCCTCCTCCATGGCTCGAGCCAATATATCACGCACGAGCCATGGTCATCGACACAGTAAATTTTTAGCCAACTCATTTTTTGTGTTTAATTCTATAAATTAAGATTATACTTATTATTAGAGAAGCAAATTGGGGTATCACATTGGCACTGGCTTAGATGGTGAACAAGCCGTTACTTGGTTTGAATCCTTAGACCAGTTTAAATGCTCCGATAACATTTGAACGTGGTCCTTCAATGCACCCTATATTTTTTGTACGTGTTCTGTTCATAAAGAGCGTAATTTAGCAGTTGATTGATTTGTCAAGTTGAGTTTAAATTACGAGATGGATTTTCAAGAGCTTACGAAGTCTCCTTCTTGTTTAGTTCAAACTCTTTCAATGACTACTCTGAGTTCGTTAGAATTAGACTAGTTGTTCCTTAGTGTTGTTTTTCTCTTTTTTTCTTCTATGTTACTGAAAGAAAGAAAGAAAGACAAAAAAAAAAAAAAAAACAATTATCATACTTTGAAGAAGGTAAAAAAATCAATATTGTACGTTTACCAAGAAGTTAAATAAAATTAACATTGGTTAGTACTAGGTAAGTTAAACAGCTATAAAGATTTGTGGTATATATTGATGCCCATTGCAGAAAATGATGTCGTAGTGATTTCGTGCAAGTAATTAGTGAAAGGCATGGAAGATTTCAACATTTTTGAGAAATTTGCGTATTCCCTGTAAATTTTGATTGTACGGACGGCGTCGAGTAGGCAGTCAATCTGTAGGCGAATCTTTTAAATTACGTGAGATTGAGGAGAAGCATTTATGTGAAGCCGGCAATAATCGAGTTTGCTGTTTGCCGAAATATAGGAGCATTTATTATACACGTAAGAAAGGTTATCCAAGTTTCAATATAATTTGTAAAAATGAATATATTGAAAAAGAGAGAGTGTTTTTTTTTTTTTAATGAAAAAAAAGAGGTAGTCACATGTTGCATCTAGTACACAAGGCATGAAGGTCTACGAGTAGTGGATTGCCTTAACGGTAGGATATTATCTTTAGCTTACAATATTTCAAGATTTAACCTTCTTTCTCTCCTGAATTATAGATAATTAGTGTATGTTATTTATTATTTTTAGTGTATATTATTTTATTATTTGTAAAAAATAAAAGACTAAAATTTAGAATTCATCCATGAATTATTAGATGGGTTTAGAATCTGTTCCTAAACTAAAATTTCGTTAATTTGTGTTTTTGAATTTGACAAAACGTGCACTATTGATGCTTGTTGTTATCTTTCGTAAAATAATCTGTTAGTTTGATGATGTGGCACACATCCCACATCTCCAATTTTGTAGTGCATGTAGATTAAAATAAAGTAATTATGTATTAAAAACTTAAATAAATAATAAGAGGAAAAGAAAAATCGCAACCACCACACAGTTATGCGATGGCAGCTGTGCCGTCGTGTGATTTTCATTCCAGAGAACCCAGCCCCGTTTTCAATCTCCTCCATTCCCTCTCCCAAACCCCGATCGCAACCATGTTGCCCTCCCCTTCCCAGGTCGTTGTTCCTGCCTTCCTCTTGCAACATCCCTGAACGGATCGTTGATCAGCTCCCCTTTTCAAATCCCACGACACAAACTTCATTTTCCTTAACAGCACAGGCAGCCACAAAATTTGCTGCCTTATTACAAGATTGAAGGGAAAATTTAAACACAACTAACTCGAATTGGGAAGCTAGGATACGGATCTCGTGGATGATCCCTTCCACCACTATTTTAGTAGTCGTAGTCTTTCGCGTGGATGATACTTTACACAACATTATGTGGTAGTTAATGGTTGTATTCCTTATTTGAATCAATAAATAAGGTATCCAATCATCACATGTCACAATGTTTAAGAAAGTAAGGGCTTGTTTATTATCCTATTAATTTTTTTTTTTATAATTTCTTAAAGCATTTCTTAAGAATTTTTTTTAAAACAATTTTCTTTAAGACTCAAAAACTTGTTTGGTTTGCGATTTAAAAATTCCCAATCTTACAACTTAAATTGGACAAAGAGATCTAAAAAGAGGGGGAAAGAAAGCAAGAGATAATTGGAGGAAAGAGAAAGAAGTGAGAGGATCGGAGGAGATAAAGAAGAAGATGAGCGAGAAAAAGAATTGAAAGAATGAAGAGAGCGGATTGGAGGAGAGACGAAAAAGGTAAAAAAAAAAGAAAAAGAAGGGTGAGAGAGAGAATAAAAGAGAGATAGATTTGGAGTGAGAGGGGAGGAGGGAGAGAAAAGAAATGAGTGAGTTTAAGTTTAAAAACTCGAAAAACTTACTTTTTCTGTTTTTAGATAATAAACTATATTTGTTAGTTAGTATTGAGTTCAGTTTTTTAAAATAATCCTACCAAATAAAATTTTAAGACCTAAGGCTTGAAAATTATTTTTGAGTTTAAAAAGTTGAATTTAAATAGAGTACCAAACAAGCTTTAATTTTCCCTACCTTTTTCTTTTTACCATATAATGTTAGGATCATTCATTAGTTCTTTTAAAGTACAGAAATGTAATCACAATAAGCTTTGAATGTGATGGGGTAATCAAAATTTTCTTTTATAATCCAGGTGTATTCAACTCCAAACAAGTTGTTATATAACCTCGTTTAGAGAGCTTTTGTTTTTTTTCATGTCTAATAAAAATAGTTTGACTTTATCATTGCTCATCATGCTCGTGTTCTACTCTCATTCTCAAACGATTGGATTTAGGCTATCATGTCAAGTGAAATGTCAAGAACTCAACTTCATTGACTTGAGGGAACTGGTTGAGCAATAATTGTGTCTTGTTTGCTTATAAATAGACCAAAAATAGTATTATTAGGCTAATTAAGTTGAGAAAACGACTATATACATATTATATTCAGAAGATTTTAACTTAGATCTTACCTTAAACCAATTCCAAAACATATTTGTGCATGTTTCACAAAGATATTTTTGTGACAAACCCCTCATTAACATTATAGCAAGGGAGTTACGTTATTCAAATTGAATAGCCACAACTAGATATTATATCAAACTTATCAAAAATATGCATCATTTTTGTAATCATGTGATGTTTCTACTTAAATTACGAAAGTGTATTACGTTTGTTGTTCAAATTGAATCACACTAGTATTATGAAAGTTCTTGGATCGTGCGAAGAAATAAGAATTTTACTAAAGGCTTGAATATTCATCAACTGCTTAAGCAAAGTGATCCAACCATCATGGATGGAATATATAAGCTCTCATACATCTATTACTTTATAAACTCCTAAATTTAGCTATTACTCTATAAGCTGGCAGGTGATGATAAATTGATATGTCTTGGCCACTGAACCCACACTGTTTGTCTAGCCTGATTATCTATCATGGGTGGGGCAGTTGGCACGTCCCTCACTAGCAATTGCAAGAAAAATATGATTTGTATTCTTTCAAGAAAGAGCTTTCATAGGTTGACCAATCATAGCCATTTATAGCATAAGTCTCACATGAAAAGAATGAAATTGATTAGAAAATCACGCTCATTTTCGAATTTTTTTCTTAATAAGATGGACTATATATGCCATTGAAATGCGAAAAAGATCATCTTAAAGTGAATTATGAATTCTCTGTTATTTCATATTTTAACGTCAATTTATATGTTACATTATAAAATATAATGCCAAAAACATAAGTTGATAGAAAATTTATAAAAAAATTTTGTTTGAGAGAATTTTCTTAACCATTCGCTTGCTATACAGACTATGAGATCGTTCGGCTAGCTCAAAGCCGACCCCAACAGCTTAAACAAAAATGTCCCGTAACTCACTTTGCATGATCGCTATGTTTTCTTGCCAAATAATGTTAGTCTAATATTTTAACAAAAAATATATACAGACTTCGATAAAGAATAAAATAAAATTGCACGCATGACGATCTCTGGTGTACGAATTGCTCAAAATTCTTGGAGACTGGGTAATTTAGTCATCTGATTGATTACGTGGAATAACATTTTACATGCTACGTGTCTGAACGCAGGAAGTTGGTTCCTAAAGAGGGGATTAGACCATTGAAAAGCAAGCCCTAATTAAAATGAATTAATATCGGACCATCATTAGCCTGCCACTTAAGGTAATCCGACGTCTTTTGTTTACTCTCTCCCAACTACAAAACAAAACAGAGAAGAAATGTTTGCCCTTCCATTTACATACTATTTTCATGCTTTTCTGTTTGTGTAGTCACAATTAAGTTGCATCAACATTTTATATTCCATTACTTTTTGTTTTATTATTTTTATAAAAAAATTAATATAAAATGTTGACGTGGCTTAACCGTAACCACACATCATAGGAGGGCATGGGGAAAAGTATGGAAATGGAAGGACAGACAATCCACCTCCAAACAAAACAGGTCCCTCCTTTCATGACGCACGAAAGTTGAATCTGTACTTTATTAGATACTAGCATTTACCTACTTTATTAGATACTAGCATTTACCTACATACTTTGTGCGTAAGAACACATTTTTTTAGAAAATGAGAATGAGAGAGGGATGGAGAGAGAACGTGGAGGAGTGGGAGGTTTTTGTTTTTGGTTTTTTATTTTATTTTATTATATATATAAATATTAGAGGTATTTTAACATCACATATAGTCTTCAATAAAAAACAGTAAAATTTGAATCTGTGAAATTACATTATTGCCCATCATTTTTTATGTGTAATAAAAGACTAATTTGTCTTTTCACTTTTTTTTAGTTGACAAATAAAATTTATTAATTAATAGAGATAATACATAATTAATAGCTTAATTGGGGAACACATGAATGTGTTTACGCGATGATATAGGATTTCTTCTGTTAAACTTCCTTAATGGGCCATCTGTTAATCTGGAAGCATTTCGGTCACCCAACTACCACTTTCTAATAATATCACTGCATTAAGTCAACTTAAAAAAACTATTAAACTAATTAACCATCAATTTGATAGGTGTCTATCCGATGCTTAGTGTCACTTCTTATAGGTCCCCACAGTTTAAATTAAACAATAATACTGTTCATGACGTTAAAAAACCATGTCTTATTCACCTTTTTATCTTACCATATGAATGGTGTAGGGTCAAATATTATTCTAATCATCTACTAAGATCTTCGCCTTAATCTTTTCAAGGAAAGCCTATAATCTCTAAGCCAATCCCGCACCTTTGATTGCATGCCCTTCTTACCCCTTACTTTTTTAGTGTACATGTGTGTTGTCATCAAACCCTAAAAGCTTAAGCTAGATTTACAATGATTTCATAAAGTAGTCATCCAAATGACAAGATAGATGTCCATGGTAACCGCGGTAGAACTCTTTCATAATTAAGGATGGTGCTATTTATACACTTTTTTTAATCTTTTATATACTAGTTTTAGTTTATCAGTCGTTAGATTGAATAAATTGAAGAAGATCAATAGACAAAACTTAAAAAGGGTATTTGAAAGGTAAAAAGAAGTGTGTGAATAACATCACCCTATATAAGAGATGATACCAATATGTTGGGTAGAGATATAAAGAATGGTTGGATTAAGCCTTGTCTAAGTAGTGACAACGCGTGAAAATGATCAATTGAGCCTCGTAGCATGAGTTTGTAATTAAGTAAAGAATTATAAAGTAATTGGTAGTATGGATTTCAATGGCTAGTTTGGAAATACTTTTAAAATGACTGAAAACGTTTTTAATGAGAGTATTTTTGGAACCAATTATTCTTAGTAAAAATGCAAGTAAATCCTGAAAAAGCATTTAAAGTGTTTTTGGAACCCTAATATACTTTCACCAAAAAAACCCCTCTAATCTTTTTAAAAGAACTTACGAATGAGCCTAAGTCTAGTTGAGTAGTTGGTTATAGATTAATTATAACCTCACGTTTTAGTCAAAGCAATCACACCCTAAATTCTTAGATTAGTAAAAAATACCTCACCCCAAAGGGGTGCGTAACAAAACTCCCCTTCAAAGATAAAACACAACGAGTGAAAAATGAATTAGAATTTTACTAGGTCAAATGTTTGATTCTTGTAGCTAACAAAAAGAAAAAGAAAAAATTTACACCAAAAGAGAATATTACTTATCTTTGGTGTTTTGCGATTAACATACGCAATTTCGTAGACTCGTAGTTTAAGACTAATTAATGTCTCCACGGAGACAAAACCAAGTATTTAAGTAATAAAAAAGCTTGTTTATTACGATTAATTGTTGGATTACTACTCCATCAGCACGTAAAATACCAAATACTAAAATGGGTAATTAGTGGTCCAATCGTAGTGTTTGTCTTGTACATACATGTACCCAAAACAGTTGCGAATACGTGCCAAAATACATAAATCTGGTAGATTTTTTTCTTCTAAAAATGTTGTACAACAAATGTTGAATAATGATTAACGAGTGAGAATTAATTATTTGCTGCCATGCAATTTCGTTGACAGAGTTCATATAAATTAAATTATATCTAGATACGAGATCCGAAACGTTGCACAGTCAGTATTACAACTCATAAGCAAGATATAATATATGCACAATTAGTATACAATGTTATCTCTCCCTTTTTGTTTTCTTCTTTACAAATATATAGCGCGTAGCATATTAAATTAGAAAGGATTTACAACACATCAACCATCTGACAACAAAACTACGTTATTACAATAGAGTTATACGCAACTAGAGATCGAAGTCATTATAATTACATATCATCACCGTTATTTAACTAAGTTAAACTTGAGACGTGTCTTCCATTTAAAGACTGGATTAATACAATATTATGTTTTCTTCCCTTTTTACAAGGGTAGTATATTATAGCGATTTCGCACACATCAACATCTGAAATAATACTACATTACAACAACGGAATAAAAAACAATTAGGTATCCAACTCATTACAATATTACATATTATCATTGTTATCCACACGGCTGAAAGGTCAGTTGGCAATATCCAATATTTTTTAGCTTGCCTTCTTCGTATTACATATATATTTTGTTTCTTTAATAGTACGTAGTCCCAATCGAGAGCATTCAAAAGCTAAAACGATCAGATTTCAAGAAGTTTCTGTAGAAAAGGGTTTCTTAAATCCGAGCTACATTTGTGTTCAACGTAAGCGGTCTCTGGGGACACGTAGGGCATGCTGATGGGGTGATGGATGCCTCTGGAAAATGGCGATGGGATGAACACCATTCACGAGATCAGGGACGTGGCAGAAAGGCAGTGGTACTTTAAAGCTGAAATGCCCATGTATAGAGAGATTTTTTCAGTGTGACAGGCACACGAGGTGGTATATCACATGTCATTATATAAATGGTGAGATATGTATATTAAAAAGTTAATAACTTAAAAAAAAAAAATTCCCACCACTTATGTAAAAACACGTGGTATACCACTAATGTTTCCGTCACAATAAAAAATTCCTCCCATGTATGAGCATTGATCTTCACTTGTTTGACTTTCTATGTCTTGGACCAATGGTTTCTTGACACGTCAGTAACTTTTGTTGGGCTTCAAGTTCATCGAGAAAAGATCCGGACTTTTCAAATTTCATTCAATGGTCCACCTGTTTTGATCCCTTAAAAGCTGTAATAATTTTTTGCCGTTGAATAAAATTTGAAAGGTTTGGATCACTTGATCCGATGACCTTGGTTGAAGAGATCCGAAAAGGATAACTTCTCCATCTGGATGACAATATTTTTCAAGAGTTTTGTGATCTCAGTTGCTCAAACCAGAGCCATGAATCAGAACAGTGCTGATTGATGTTGAATTTACTGTGAAATCAGCCTCAATAGACAGATTTACGTGATGATTGACGCTAACATGTGCTAATCAAGAATAAAACGTAGTTAAAAGTTGGTATAAAGCAAAAAAACAGTTACGATACTAGCAAAACAGAAAATTCATCCAACAATAACAACCAAGCCTTATCTGAGTAAATGGAGTCGCTTGTACGAATTCTAGAACATCACTGTGCTCGATTCTTCTAATCGGAGCATCTTTAAATCTTTGAATCACGTGTATAAAGCTAAATTTTCCTACTTTGTGAAAACATGAACTGAAATTTTCTTCTAATACAAAGTTTGGTTATTACATTGCCTTATTAAGAATCTGGTTTCTCATACAATGTGAATGAAGAAGAATCAATAAATCATACGGCATTCCGAAAGAATGATTTTCTTTCAAATTCTTTAACAAATATTACAATCATATAGTAGTTTAAAAATCATTGTACCGACGTGATATAATGATCACCGCGAAACAGTGGACGAACTGGAAGATATCATCTCGACAAGCCGGTTATGCAAGGTGCTATTAGTCACAAGGATTCCACCGGAAGGGTATATATTCCTCCGTCCAACTTCATCTGCTGCTAGATTAAGTTCATCTCCCTTCCAGTCAGTCACCTGATTTTACACCAGATAAACTCCCAAGTTCATTATTCCATGTCTTTAGAGGGTCAATAAAAAAAAGTTGTACAAGTTCATTATTCCAATCATAACTATCTTGACAAAGAATATACAGATACCAGTTGTATGGAATTTCATGTTCATGGGGAAATATTAAGCGTTTTATTAGTCAAACAGCTCAAATTATGGTTTTCGGTTTCTAAATTTTGGGATTTTTCAACGAAAATTGCGTTTTTGCATCAATCCAACAGTGGAGCTTTGCAACAAATTCATACTTCGGAAAGAGCCAAAGAATAATATACCTTTCCCCCCGCTTCATGCACACATATAACACCAACAGCGTGATCCCAAGCCTATACATCGTCACGAGTTGAAGTTAGTCGTATACTGATGTAGTTTCTATAATCCATTGACGACTGGAATGCAATGCAATACCTTGATAATTTTATGAACTTTCACACGCTGCATATGAAGAGATGCCACACCTGAAGCCACCATTATATACTTGGATAAACTGCAGGCCGAAAAGAAGAAAGGTATATATCCAGTAAGCATTGAAAAAGATGATGAACATGATTTGTAATGGATATATAGCGAAATAGGAACCCGTATGAAACTTTTGCTATTGCAAACTTGGGAACACAAGACTATTCTAGGAACAGTGGCATTTAGAGATTAAGTTGAGACAGGGGGGAAAACTCCAACATTGAGTAAAAACTATGTCAAGATATCTGAAAAGTTCTAGTTTTCAGGAGAAGCAGTCGAGTAGGAAACAACAAACCTTCCACAACAAGATTTTACAAGAAGAATTTCGCACTCATCAATGCAATCAGCATTAGTTGTGGAGCTGAATAAAGATGATAGCGGAAATGACTTCCATACATCACTATCTGTGATAGAAAATCGTGCCTCTTCCACGATACAAGACCCATCAACAAAGCATCGTGTCCAGGAATAAGGCATTTTGGCTGTGGAATTTACAACAGATGACAAACGTTTTGTCCACGTGCCACAGCCTGTATGTGCAACCATAATAATCCCTGATCCAGGTGGACTGCTTTTTTCTTCCTGGACTTCAGAGGCGGATTTGTTCGATATATCATTCTTCCAGTTCGGGCAGCCCATGACACCTAATACAACCTCTCCATCAACAACAAGTGCCAAGCCAACCTGAAAACTTGAGCCGTTTTATAGGTAACCCTTATAGTCGAAAGAATTGCAGTTAAACAAAAACTAATATCTACAAAGAACATAGCTTGAATAATATCTTTTTGCAACACAATAGTGCTATTACTATGTCTCATTTAAAACCATTGGCCTTACTTTCTTACATAAGAAAGCAGCATAACAACCAGTGTCACTTGAAAGGTATATCCTTGAAGATTGATTCCAATCTGACCACTAACTAAGGAGCCGTTTGATAACCATTTCATTTTCAGTTTTCAGTTTTTAGAGGAAAACATCTGTGTCGTATTCCATAGCAAAGTCAATTACAGGTGCCATCATATTCAGGAATCAGAAATCACTGTAATAACCAATATCTGGGAAGTGAAAGAAAGAAACTCAATGCAACATTTCTAAGTTAGTAAGACATACCACATATAACGCCGGATTTCCCTCCACAAATCCTTTTGTGCCATCAATGGGGTCAAGTACCTGCATTACCTTTCTCAATTCAGTACAATACAATAAAGTAAAAAATCCAACCAAACCATCCATCTTAATTACAAACTGCGACCACCATGAATTAAAACATGATTACCAAACGAACCCAAAACGTGGCAGTCTGAGCTCCGACAGGGTTACATACAAAGCTGAAATCTTCGTAATGTTTAAGTTAGTGCAGCAAAGCAAAAGGGTTACATAGAAAGCTGAAATCTTTGTAATGTTTAATTCAGTGCAGCAAAGCAAAAGGGTTACATAGAAAGCTGAAATCTTGGCAACGTTTAAATTCAGTCATATAATGCAAAAGCGAATCCCAATCCGAAAACAAACCCAATAAGTGGCGGGCTGAGCTCCGAAAGCAAAACCCTCTGGACCCCCTCTGTCAATGGCTTCCAATACTTCATCAGCCGTCCATGGGTTCTCTCCAATACTAGATTTGTCAAGCACCGCATTGAGCACCGGCTCCACCAGATTATTCGACCGAACAAACGCGGAGTCTTCTTCCGCTACCAATGGAATCAAAGGGAATCGTTTCCCAAGCTCTGCAACCATACCAGCTCCAATTACAGAACTAAAAAAAACACAAAGAATAAGAGGACCTGCTTGCATAAAATCTACTAAAAGGACTAATTGGCAACTTTACCCAAACTGACGAGGGCCTGGACTCCAAAATCCGCCACCGTCACCGGAGTCTGGTCGCTCTTTTCAACGATCCGCCGTTGAGTTGATAGCACCGACGACTGGATGTCAACGCACAGCGCGCAAGCTCTCTCCACGACATCGACGGCAGCTTCCAGCTCTCGATAGTAGTTGGCCTTTTCAGTACCGAACGGCAAACTCGACCTCACGCGGAAGCGCCGCCGCGGGAGGGCCGAATCTGGCTGAGTGAATCTTGCAGTCGTAAAATGGCGGGCTGAGTGGACGAGAATCATGGCAAATTTTAACGGTCGGCCGTATGCGACTTTAGCACTTGTTAAAAAGTGATTGGTGGAGAATGTAGTGCAACAGTGTGCTTGAAATTGGACCTTGTAAGTTTTGATTTAGTCAAAAACATTGGGCCGCGTCAAGCGGCCGCGGCCCAAAATCTAGATGTTATGCAGTCCAACCCAATTATCAGACAAACTTACGAAAATCCTACGTGGATATTCTTGTCCTTGTCCAAAACATCTGAGAATTGGATCCTCTCCGAGGTAATGCCTCGGGATCCTCTTGACCAGACAACACAGGTCGTTGTATGTTGATTTAATGGTTACAATTATTATAAGTTTAGTAAGACGTCCCTATTTGTAACCGTTGGATCAAAATTCAAAGATTCATGTTGTCTGGTCAGAACGATCCAAGGTATTGCCTCGGAGAGGATCCAATTCCAAACATCTGGAGCTGATCCACAGACACGTGTCTGCGTATCAGACCCCGCGGCCCCCAGTTTTCCATCGCAGCCGTCGGTTTCCCACTTCTCAGGGGTCAACGAACCTCAGGTTTCCAAAACCTCGGATTCATCTTATAGTTTCTCTCTATAAATACAAGAAAATAGTGAAGATCCCAGGTGATTTGATTTGCAGTTGCAACCCTTCCTATCTTGTGAAAGATTTGTGATCTGGGTTACGAGCTTGAGGCACGTGAGCAGAGTGGCGTACCAGGCCGCGATGAGTGTCAAAGACCAGGGTCCCAAGTGTGGCGATACGACCGTTAAGTCCGTGAGGGGTTCGACGCAGGCGCGGCGGTTGTCGGCGTCGCTGGATTCGGGTGGTGGTTTGAAGGCGGGTGGAAAGAGTAGTGAGAGGGTTAAGGAGGCGGAGGAGTCGCTCAGGACTGTCATGTACTTGAGCTGTTGGGTTCCCGGTTGACTGATCTCTGCTTCCGTCTTAGCTTTTTGTAAATCTTTTTCGATGGGAAATTTGTATAGCTTATATACGTGTATTTATATGTATTACATGAAGTGAAATCTTTGGATCCACAGCTTGATTTTATATTTTCTTTACTTGTCAAATGCATCTGACTTCAATTTTTTTTTTTTTTTTTTTTGGGTCGAGAATGCATATGACTTCATTACATGTACGCCCAGTTGGTATTTATGAAAATATCAATAGGTATATTGATTAATTCTCTTTGGTGAAAATTGTAGAAATTTACAAGGGGGTGAGGCTCATTATTTTTAGTTGAAATAAAAAAAAAATTAAAAATTTTGAAATCTGCACTTGAAACTCTGTAAAATTACTACAGTGAATCGGTAAATACCATTGATATTTATTGATTTTCCTATCACTAAAATATAAAGTAAAATTTAAGCTTTACTCCCATTTCATATCCACCATTAATTTTTTAGATATTTCAACGAAAATATCTATAATTTAATAGATTTTTTAAACACTGATTTCCCCCTAACTTTGTTCCTTTGTCCCCGCATTTTATATTAGTTTGGATGAAAAGAAAAAACACAATGGGCTTATTTATATATAAAAAAAAGGATGTCGTTTATGTTCACTGTGGCCCAATCCAAACCCATAGTCTTATTGTACCCAATAATCCGGTTAAGCCCAATCTATCCTGCCAATCCAAATTCCAAAATCTCCATCTGCAGCCTCCACCACAACCTTCACAACAAAACCGATAACCCTTTTCTTCTTCTCTCTCTTTTGACACTTCCAAAACCAGACCAAAATTCTTCATCGTAAAATTGTTCTCACTGAAGCCTTTTAATAGCCGTTGTAACTCACCGTTCCTCTCCAACCCACACCGTTTTCGAAACCTAGCAAAAACGCAACGTACCCATTTTCCCCATGCAAGACGTTAGGCCCCCATGAAAGAACTAAGAAGACTTGGCGTGAGGGCAAGTAGTGGAAAAGAAGATGCAGAGAAGAAAGAAAGACAACCTTTCTTAACCCTGGAAGAAGCTCACGAAAGATTTCTATGTCGTTTAACGGTACTATTTTCATTTGTTACATTTCCAACTTCACTTTTTTACGCTCTGAAGCAATTTTTACATTTCGTTTTTTAGTCTTTTGTACAATACGTTTGATATTTTTAAAAACGTTGAGGTTCAAATCTCGTAGATGACTTTGTGTATTTGTGAACATAGATATCGGCATTGAATTTGCTGAGAGTGATGTCAGAGCAAGAAGGATGCCAAATTGAGGAGCTAAATGCTGGGAAGGTATGTTGTGATATCCCGTCCCCAAAATTATTATTTTATTTTATTCTTGACGTATTTCGAAGATTTGATTGGAACTAGTTCTTTATTTCTCCAAATTTCAGAAAAACGAAGTGAGGGGTAATTTAGTCATGTCCAATTTTCTCGATCTTTTCGGTCAACTCTTGAGTTGGTTAGGTAGAGTTCGATTCCATGAGCGCGTAGGCGTAAACAGATCTTATTTCCGAGTCCGAACAGAGAATTTAGAGTCGTTTGAAGTTGGTGGCATTTTGGTAATATTACCAAAATGCCATAAATGGGAGGGAAACCTCCAGAAATGGGAGGGTTTTTCAGAAAATGGGATGGGTGCTGCCTAACCCGTTTTAGGGAGTATTTGACCCATAAAACCACCAAACTTGATCCGCTTGTATCTTTTTCATCTGAGCTCCGTTTTGGATGATCTTGGTGTCCATGGAAAGCTCTTGACGAGCCCTACATCTCTGTCATTTTAGATTTCCCCGTTTCTTTTCCATCTTTGCAGCTCGAGGTCGCAAAGTCCACGACTTTTCCGACGGGTTTATCATTTTTCCAACGATTCCAGCAACGATTTCCTTCGAGTGAGGTATGAAACTTTATCTACTCTTCATAATCTTCAAGTTGGTATGCTTAGTTTATGCTTTTGTATTCATTTTAGAGTTGGGTGTTTAGAACCCAAGAAATCCGGTTTTCTCCGGAGGAATTGGACGGTTTCCTGTTAGAATTTATCGTCGGCCTAATTGTGAAAAGTGTTTCCCTTGTTGAGCTCTAGCTACCACGTAATTTTGAGCTCATCTAGTTAATGTTGAAATTCAGGGTTTCTAAACCCTCCATCTTGACTTCCACCGCGTGTGGCGGTGTGTGGGATCGTTCACGAGTGTTATCTAGGTTTTAAATACCTTCTAGTGACCATGTGAACCTATGTCTAGCTTGGTTTCCAAAGATTCAATTGTTTGGTGTGGTGATCAATTTGGACCGCTGTGACATCCCACATCGCCCAGGGAACTGATCCTTAAATGTATATTCCCATCTCTACCTAGCACGAGGCCTTTTGGGAGCTCACTGGCTTCGGGTTCCATGGGAACTCTGAAGTTAAGCGAGTAGCGCGCGAGAGCACTCCCAGGATGGGTGACCCATCGGGAAGTTCTCGTATGAGTTCCCAGAAACAAAACCGTGAGGGCGTGGTCGGGGCCCAAAGCGGACAATATCGTGCTACGGTGGTGGAACGGGCCCAAGAAGTGGTGTCACCCGGGTCGGGATGTGACAACCTGAAGGAAAATTTGTGAAAAACATGTTCATTTAAGCAACATCAATAGCATGCAATTAACAATTAAAGGCGGAATCATGCTTGTATGCACTTAAAACAAAACATTTACCCATGAAATTCAAAGCCTAGTAGATAGGTGAACCAAGACTCAACTCAAAACAAAGTGAGTTGAGAAATCAATACCTTTGTAGATTCCTCTTTGCATAAGCAAAGGCTAATCACCCAAAGAGAGGGCCTTCATTCCTTGCATCTTAGATCCATGGATTTGAATGGATGAAAAGGTTTCTCCAAGTTCCCAAAATTGAGAACCTCTAAGTCTCCACACCAAGGTAAGATTGGAGAAGAAATGAGTGACCTTGAGGAAGTAAGATTGCTAGATGTTTTCCTCAAGGGTGGCTGAAATTTTAGAGAGAAAAGAGAGCTTGTGTTCTCATCCTTTCCCCCAAAATAACCCTTAGAAAACCCTTAGGATGAAATGGCTATAAAGATGTCTTTATACCACCTCACAATGGAGTGGCAAACTTGCAATTAAGCCAAGTTCACTACCCTCCTCTATATGGCCGAATTTAAGGGGATTTATTGGGCTATTTGGGCCTTTGTGAATCATTATTCATTAAGTTGTCATACAACTTAAGTCAATGGACTTGACGTTCGAAGCCCATTGGGCCTTAAGGTCCAAAACTATCCCGAGGTCTTTAACGAACTTATTCGTTTGATTAATTAACATATTAATTAATCCTTGCCATAAATAATTAAACCATTTAATTATTCTTACTCATCTCCGTTGAATCTTCAATCTCTACCTTACACGGTGTACGATCCATTAGGTTCCTTTTAGCGAGGCAGTGGGCGATTCAAACTCTTTCAAATCGATTGTGAATTGAAACTTACTTTCAATTCTCCCGTTAGTGATAATACACTTTTAGGGCTTCCACAAACCATGGTTGACGCCTAGCAGCATGTCATGGTTACCCAAGCTAATCAGAAGAGGTGGAGAACCTATTCAGTTTAGGATTACAAATGCAATACGGTCTTTCTCTAATACAATACTCTTGACCACATTGTTTGGTTTGATAGTTTATTCATGTCTACTATCCAATGTGAATCTTGTACTTATATGATTACCTTGAATGTGATCTGGAACGCATTCCAACATCTCATTCATACTCTGGCCAGAGATTCTAAATCATATCATAGAGTATTCTCCCTCAAACAGTTTGAAGGTTAGAGATCCCTTGTTGCGCATTCACTTGCCTCCATGGCTAAGTGGCTTAACCCCAACGATGCCGTGGACACCCTGATAGAGTGACGTTGACATAATCAAAGATTAAGGACCTAACCACAAGACAACTGTGATGCCTCAGGTCAAAAGACTAATTTGCATTATCCCAACCATGAGTTCTCATGTGACATGAATATGAGAACTCTTCGTTGATCGTGTTCAGTGAACTCATTCTCTATTGAGCACCTACGTACTTGTCTTGATGTCACACACACCAATGACTCGAGACTAGTCACTCTCCCTGAGAGAAGACATAGCACGTACTGATCTTAACGGACT